ATTACAGTAGATAAATTTAAAAAGCTAATTGCACTTGGGAGTTAAGGATAAATTGACATGTTCTTAAATACACAAGTTTTTTTCTCTCTTATTCTCTAATGAGTTTATAATTAAATTGGAGAAATTGCTAGAATTACTCCAAGTACTAGTGAAAATAACCTTCTTGTGAAGTGTTCTTGTAAATCAAAAGAGTATTCAAGTACAGTAAATATATAGTTGAAATATGAATGGTATTTATCTGTCCCCTTTAAAGTTTAATGCCAACTTATCTTTACTTTGATTGTCAGGTTTTGAGCTGAATGTTAATGAAAACATTTCCCTATAAATAAAGTAAAGCGCAATTTTGTACTCCTATTTCCACTGAGCAAAGTTCTGCTTTGGGGTACATCACAGAGGGATATTTTTTTAGTGCTGTCTTGTGCATGCCAGAATAACACCCCATATATAATCCCACTGATCCATCCATGTGAGGAAGAACCCAGGGTTTGGCACCCAAGCTGGGGGGCACTCTGCAGCATGAGTGTTGTAGCACCAGCAAGCCGGTGCTACGGGGTCTGCAGGGCAGGAAAACAAAAAAGGCAAACAACCCCAAGCCACAGAGTAGCAAGTATGCCTTCCCCAAGTGCAATTTGGTCAGATTCTGAGATGGATTAAATTTGGAAGAGATAAGTGAGAGCAAGTAACTGTTAAAACAGAGGATATTTTTCACATGCCTACTGCAACTTAGAGGTTTCTGTTACTGCTGGAACTGCAAGTGTAGCTGAGGCAGGGTCAGAAAATTCTGGAGCTTAAATAAAGAAGCTTCAAGGCAAGAAGAATATAAAAATAAATTCGAAAGGGCTTAATAACATTGTATAGAGGCTGAGTACTCTAGTGTCAGAAAGAAATTCTTTGCTCTTAGATCAAAAACTAATCACAAAAGAACAATGTGGGATGAGATTTTTCTTTGATTTAGCTAGATAGTCATTCTATAACCACTGGGGATATATATATGTATGTATTTACTATTGTCTAAAATTATAGTTAGTGTTGCAGTGTAAAAATGTGCATATTATTGACAACACAAAAGTTGAACAAAAAATATTTTTGAATGAATCCGGCTAAACCTTTAGCAGTCAGATCTAAAATCTGCTAGGATCCTTTTGCTTGACTTCAAAGGAACTATTATCAGCACTTCAGTGAAATTCTACCAAAAAAAAAAAGAAAAAAATTTAAAAAAAAGAAAAAAAAGAAAAAAAAAAAGAAAAGAAAAAAAGAAAAGCACTGTGTGCTTACTGTCAGGGCTCATGGTATGTTGGATCTGCAGAGCCCACTGCACATCCACCTCCTCAAGCAGTGAAAGGAGAGAAACCTTCCTGAGGTTATCACATGGGGTACCTTTGATTCTCTGCTACAGGACAGAGACTTGTCTACTCTTTCCTAATTTCCCATCCCAGAAGACTTTATTTATGCATTAATCGACCTTTCTAGCCGTTAGGACCATCTTGCTTCAGCAGTTAATTAACACAAGTGCCATAATTTAATACAGTTAATGCTACTTGATGCCCTTTAATGTACCTTCCATTAGTGATATTATTGTAGTATTACCCTGTAAATTAAAATGAGATCAAGACTAAGAGAGGCTATCTTTAATTAAGGTACTGGCACACTACATCGTCCATTATTCACTAGAAAAAATCACTCTGATTTAGTGAAGCAGGCCATCAGTAAGTCAGAATTAGTTCATGTGGATTATTAGGTTTCTTGAATAATATGAGCACAATGGGGTTGCTGAAATTGCTAACAGCCAGGCAGCCAGGTTTCCTTTTTTTTTCCTCATCTTAGTAAACACACAATGAAAGAGGTAAACTGAAGATGAACAAACAGGTAGTAATAGAGGAGGTAAAGCACCCATTAAGAACACACCGGCTTTCATCTCTGATACATCAGGCTTATTTTACACCAAACTGCAAAGCAGTGATGAAACAAACCATATATTAAGTGCGAAAATCTCCTGTCTTTAATTCATTGTGAAGTATTAGACATTTCAGCATTTTGTATCTTAAATTTGGCATCTTTAAGATAGATATTTTCCATTGGTATTGATTCTTAAAATAGAGCATGAAACAAATTTTAGGCTGCCTTTAGGAACATGCTATTTTAAGCTTTGGTGATTTTAACTTTATTTAAACTACAGGTCATATTTTTAACAAAGGGACTAGCTTCCAAATGTGTCTGCTAGCACAAGCTTTTAGGTATCATCCCTTTGTATCCATCCCATCCTCATGGAATCCTGCATATCCTATGCTGCAGAACGGCAGGGCTGGTCCCGGGATTTAGTCAGTTCGCTAGTCCAGAAACGCGGGGAGTGATGACAGAAACTCAATATGAGTGCATCAGAAAACTCCAACTCTACTGTTAAAGCAAGCTTATATTTATAACCACTTTAGCAAACTTGGCACAAACTGATTGGTTAACCACCCCGTAACAACACCTAACCCACAAAGATGATTGGTTACATGTGCTTTCATGTCTTAGTAACTATCTCTGCGGCGCCCCCCACAGATACTTCTTTATCTCCGACCCAAGTTTCTCCTTGGTTGTTTACTTCGGGCCTCAAGGACACGGTGTCCTTGCAGAGAACACACTAGTATTTTCCCATCTGTATGTCTTTACAGCCTCCCACCTTGTCCTGCTCGTACAGCTGTTCGAGGGGCCCATGGCCCCCTTGGCTAGCAAGCCGCTCATCAACAATCCTATCTTTACCTTAGTCTCAAAGTGTGTGAAAAATGTGAAAAATTGTGGCCAAAAAAAAAAAAATAAATAAATTATAAATTAATTTTCAGTTAATATGTTAATATCCTGGATTAAGGTGCAAGGGCTGGAAAGTTCAGCTGAATCAGAAATGGTCACAAAACAACCTGTAACTGTTGCCTCTTCCCCTCTTTCAATCCATACAATTCTGTGAGTCTGTATTACCACACCTGCTGGCACCATACCAGGGCATGGGGCCAAAATGCTTGTTTGGAGTTTCTGGTAGGAGACCACAAATACGTCAGACAGGGGCCTATTGCAAGAGACTCTTCAGTGGGACCAAATAATCAGGGCATGCATCCTTAGCAATAAGCAAGCCCACAAATTATTTAATGAGAAAGGCTCTCTATGTGTTGAAGGCAAGGACCCCAAAAAATCCCTAAAGAGCTGTCCTTATTAGCAGAAGAGTAACAAGAATTCACACAGATCTAATCTAGTGAGACAGTATTACATATCAGATAATTCTGTTAACACATAAGTTGAATTACTATTGCATTTAGACAACAAGCTTCAGCATCAGATAAGTTCTCTGTACAGGTAGACTTCATTTTTATAGATAATTTTTCAAAAGATTGCTGTCCCCAGCTATGTTTGGAAGGTTTCAGTTTCTCATTTGCATGCGGTGCGCTCTTTTTTTTTTTTCCCCTCCTCAAATGCTTTTTTTGACAAGACACTGATAGTCTAATTGAAGCATTCCTGGGTTTTCAAATAGGAAGCAACATTTTCTTTAAGTGTAAGGAACTTAAAATCCTGATCTCTGGTCTAATCTCTCTGTACACATGACTTATTGTAGCCTCGTGGAGAAAGGATACACATGAAGTAGAACATATTTGCCAATTTTGATATGCTGGAGTTAGTATTACTAAACTATTTCAAACTATTTTAAGTTGCCCACGATCCACTTAGCCTGAACATGGTTTAGATGCAGAACATGGTAACTACATGCTAAATCTATGATCCTGCAGAAATCCTTATGCATTCAAGTCTGTATGTGGCAGCAATTCTTCTTTCATATAAATTCAGATCATCTATTTTTCAATAGATTGCACAACATTAATTTGATTTTATTTTGACTTTATCAATCCATTTTTATATCGTGGAAGTACTTAACAACTTCAAAGGCTTGTATAAAAGAGGGAGAAAATGGTAAACTCATGAAAGGAATGATAAGATACAACAACCAGTGTATTAGACATTTAATATCTCTATTATTTTTCACTTGTTCCTGTGCCTGGAAAAATATGTCAGCCTACTAAGATAAATCGGCGTTTGTGTTTGATGTTGATATCTGTTTGTGTTGATATCTAGCTTCTCTTAAAAAATATATAAAGAAATAAAAAGGAGGATTTGAACTCTCTGAAGGTACAGAGCAAAACAAAAAGACAAAAGGGTTCATTAGGGAGTTGAGTGAATATCTAATAGAGAAGATACCATTTGTTTCTTCTGAACAAATATGCATCCAAGACACATGTTAAGAATATCACCCTTCTGCTTGAGGTCATCAGTCAATTGCTAGTTAGAGATGGTAAGGAGATTTCCCTATATGAATGTCACCGCGCTTTTGTTATTTTTGAGTCTAGGACACCTGATACCAGCCCTTGCTTGCCACAGAGGGCCAATCTGTCTTGAACCTGGATGAGTAATAATCTTTGCTGCATTCAGATCAGTCTCATGCCCTCCAAAACACTGCTGGTTTTTCCATTCTGCTTCAGTTTCATGGCATTTCAGAGCTAATTAAAGTAAAAGGAATGGACTCTCATCTCTGTTGCCTCATTGTTTATATATAATTTGCCCTACTGGAAAAAGTCTATGCAAAGGCTGCTGTATCAATTGATTCTTGCATTAAAGGCCTAGAAAAAATAATGAAATTGAATCCCTCTTCTCAGTTAACTGCCCACAGATGAAGCTTCAACTGTATAAAAGCAGAAAGAGAGTCCCTGAAAAGTGTCATAATGCCAGGTTGAAATCCTGAGCCAGTGTAAGAAAATGCTTTAATCATTCAGGGCTTTGCAGGCTAGTGACAGCAAATGCCCATGATTTAGTGCCATTGAGTCAGAAACTTCTAATACTATCAAAAATGCACCGAGTCAAATTTCCAATGAACACACTTTGGTTGCTATTTGTTATGTTTGGGGAAACAAACCGTTTTTATATAACCTCTATAAACAAACTCATATGCTTGTTCCTAAAGGTTTATAATCTCTTACCTTCCATATACCCTTATGTCTGAGATGGCATAAAAGTACCGTGCCAGGTGTTGCTCATCTACATATATTTCTCCAGTTGCTGGTCTAAGCAATCTTATCCTCAGATCTGTGATGGTAAAGAAATCTCTTAATTTCTTGGTTGTGTCAAGCTGGCCATAAAGAGAAGCCATATTATGAAGCCGAGGTCCAGCAAAAAAAGCAAATCTATCTTTGATTTCAAAGTGGATTATTTTACTGTTTGTCATATATCCAGTAGAGTATTCTTCCGTGCAAATGATTTCTAGGACTGTATGCTGTGATAAATCCCTCACTGATTTTGGATCCATGTGGAAAGCATCTAAACAGTCTGTGGCATAATACTGGTAGGGCTGCCATGTTCGTCCATAGTCGAGGGATTTCTCCAGGATCATTTGGTCTGGACGGCCAGATTCAAAAGTGATAACTATGTTATCTGTCAGCTCAATGGTTTTGTTCCAGGAGAGTGTAATATTAACATGAAGAGGCTTTGGATAATCCTTCCAAGTTGTGGACTGCCAAAATGTGGATGGATGTCTTCCTTCAAGATCAAACATCAATTCTGGAGGATGAGCCAGTTCTTGGGTACTTGCATCACATTCATTATTGCACATGTAGGGGTTCCCCTAGAAAAGAGCAGAACAAGTTTACAAGAGGAACAGTGTAGTGACTGTGACACATAAAGATGTTTTGTATTTGGCATATGAAAATTGCTGCTTTTAATTCAGGAGTGAAAGTGGGAAAGAAGAAATGAGTGCTTGCAAGGAATAACTTTATCTTGACTAGATTTGTCTTGTACATTTTACCTTACACCTAATGATCTTACATTAAGGTAAATGTACGCAAAAATATATAGTACATTTACTTACGTTGTTGTAAATATTTTCCTCAGTATATTTTAGAGAAAGAAACTAGTTTATTTACCCTTGTATTGGGCTTATGTGGCAAGATTTTGTTAGCAGGAGTGGGAATGGAGTGACTAGTAATAAAAGACCAGGAACAGTAAAGAAGTATCTAACAGGTTAGTAAGTCTGACTCTTAGAAAGATTCAACAGCCAAGAGAATTCCTTTTTAAAACAATTATGCTCCTCAAGAGCTCCATTCGTAAAGGAAGCAATTTTTAGGTGAAAATTATTGAAGTCAGCAGTATAGCCCCTACGCACTCCATATGAAACAATAGACAGTACAACTTCATGTTTCACCCAGGTGTGAAATGAAACATGCTTAACTGTATTTTCAGCCTAGCACTGTCCTTTCTTAAAACACTGACACTCTCCATCAGAAGCCACTAGAAAAATTAGTGCACCACGACTTTGATTCAGGCTTCTGCCACCTTATTACAGGGTAGAAAAGTACTTCAGGAAAGACTTTTCATGAAACACAGCCTCCAATTTATCAGGACAAGATAATCCACCACTTGATTAGGTGGGAGATGTCAGCAGCTGCAGCTGGAATGCTGCCGAGGTGGCTGGAGGTCTGAACTGTGGATTGAGTTAAAAACAGCAACAAAAAGAGCTTGCCAATAATGCACAGCTTTTACTGCTGCTTGTCCTCTGTAGCAAGGTGAAAGTGAATTATTCTCTCTCTGGCCTTTTGATGCATTAGCTTGCAAGCTACAATCTTCCTCTCCTTCACAAAGGCTATTTTGTCTGCAGATTGGGGTATCTTGCAGCAGTTGCCAAGATATCAGATCCTGCAGGCTGCACTGAATCACGTCCATCCAATTTAAACTTTCAACAGCACATTAATATTTTGCTGCTTGTTCATTCTGCATTTGCTTTCGAGAATGATAGCTGCCCTGTATCTTTCTCTGTGTACAGTATGGATTGTGGAAGAAGTTATGTTTTTTGTCACTGATGGTCTGCACTGTTGGGGAAAAAGTTGCACACGTCTGTTTCTACTAGTGCTGAATATGGACATAAGTGCAGCTGCGATTGTCATTAATCAGAGTTCTCCTCACCTGTCCTGATAATAGAACAAGCCTTGGTATGATGATCAACCTTTTCTTTTCTTACAATTACAATTATTGCTTCACTCTACCTCGAGTCCTCAGGGCAATGAGGCTGTTCAATGCCATCCAGCATATGAAATGAGCTTCATACACGTTTCCACCTTGGTCACAGCTCTGCCCCTTGGCGCACTCCCATGAAACACAAAGAAAAATGACTTCGGCACTTACTTTCACCTCCCCACAAGCAACTCCTCTTCCCTGCACAGGGAAACATTTTTCTCATGTCACTTTCCCATTAATACAGCTGAATCCTAAAATTTACCACAATTCTTCAGGACTCAAAGTTAAGAAAAAAATAAGAAAGAGTTATTTGAAAAGCAGAATGGTACTCATTAAGCAGAAGGATTCAAAACACGGAACTGTAACTGAGAATATTCTGCAAAATGTCTATAAAAAGTTCCTGTCACAGTTTTCTTGATTTCAAGCTCACGGTTACTATTCCTATTCCTTCCTTTTGAATAAAACAGTGAAAATCAAAATAAGTTTCAGGCAGAATAGATAAAAGACTGACTTTTTTGTTACTTAGCTCAATTTCATATAGCAGATATGAATACAAGGAAATGCCACCTTACTTAGGCACTTTCCTTAGGAAAAATGTGCACACTATGAGATCTACAAGGTTCCATACACTTTGAATAGATATAAATCCAAATTTTGGAGAAAATATTCAGTTACATGAGGCACACCTTTCTGAAGTTTACTAGAAAAATCCAGACATTTCTGTGGCTGTCATCGTGAAGCTGTCTGCATACCTATAATGCGTATCTTCTGTCATCTCTTTGGCAAAAGCTGTATCACTGGAAGGTCACAGGTATTGAAACAGTAAATAAATGGTTCTGGATAGCAAGACAGTTGTTAAGCATTGCTTAGGGATGTCTTTGGTTTCCTACAGCAGACAGTAAGGCCATTGTAATTCATGTTATAAACCAAACCTAAACGCTGTTCTGAGTCCCTGGGTAGAGTAGAAGGCATGTTATGTGATTCTGAGTGGGTAATCCAGATTGTAGATTGTGCACAGTGAATGCTAAACATTGGCATTTGCTTGCTTCTGAATAGTGCTCTGTACCTCTGTGTGCACAAAGCTTTTTGAGAAAGTTGATGCTACTCCACTTAATGGCAGAGCACAGTGAGACACAGGCCAGGATGACAGCACTGCCCCACATCTGAATCTGATCTTACCAAACCATACTGTAAGGAAAGCACTGCAAACGAGACTCCAAGTACAAGGCTTTGGGCATTTCTTCCACCAAAAATGAAATTATTCTTTTAATTCTGTAGCTCTCAATTCTCATTAAAGGGACAAATGATTTGATTACACCATAATAACCCATGTGGAGTTCAATATTCTGGAGAGGAAATTTGAAAAAAAAATAAGCCAATATAAGCTGATAAAATAAATGTCCTGAATTCTAGCACAGGGATGGGGAGATAAATTATAATGATAGGTAAGTTCCCATCTGCCTGCTGGCATGGCATTCAGTGATGTAATTTTGTAATGGTTGAATATTGCTTCAGAGGCTTAGAATCAGATCCTCAGTTTTTCTACACGTAACTTGGCTTTAAACTGTTTCTAATTAATCTTAAAAGGTAATTTATATGTTAAATCATATTTATACTACCAAAACTGTGTAAAGCTGCCTACATGGAAGTTCTTTAATACATGTTAGTATGAAACAATTCAATTAACTGAGATTAGTTATGTATTTTAATGTCTACATCTCTAAGATAATCCTCTTTAAGACCTCTATTTCAGTACAATGAATACAACATGGAAAACTTTCCCCAGTTTGTCAAAACTAAGCACATCCTGTGGTGGGAACGTCTAAGCAACCAAAACATTAGCAGCGATAAGTAATTTTGTGACCAGCAGGCAGCTGGAAATAGATCTTAATTTAAGCTCTCCAAGTAACAGCTTTTCAGCTGGACAAGGTGAAAAATACTTATAACTTTTTAAAATGATATTTACATCATTAGGAGATTTCTAAATAATTAAATGCTAATAAATAATTCTAAATGCTTCACTGCCAATTAACATAAGAGGTTTCTGAGGTTTCTCTATACCATTACCAGCTAGAAAAAAACCACTGTTTTGCTGTACAGTAATTGGATATTGGTATTAAATAGCTTCTTGCAGGCAGTCAAATTAAGTTGCTATTATTTTATTTTATTCACATATGGAATTCAAAATATTGCCAAAACCAGTACCACCACAGTTCAGACGGTTGGGCTTTGGGAAGTGCCTGTTTGCAGGCTCTACCCCGCAGCCATAGGGCTGTGGCTTTATCACATGATTTGATCCTGCTCAGCCATGGCTGAAAAAAGCAGAGTTATCTGAGAAGCTGCTGACTGGTCCCAGGAGACTTTCCCCTCAAGCATATAGTTTGTGTTTGCACACAAGGTCCCTGTCAGCAAGCTTGAACTCTGATGGAGGTGTTCTGATGATGCAAGGGGTGCTGCTGGCCGGCCATCAGCTGGACCACTGAGGCGTCTTACCAGGCTTATCTGTGGGCACAGCTTGGTGACAAATGAAACAAGGACCCTTGGGTAAGGATTTAGGATAGAGACAGTGGTATTGTAACCTTTAAATATCAACAGGGCAGTCAGCAGCTCCTGTTCAAGGGTTAAAATCTGATGACTCTGAGCCAAAGCCTGCATCACAAAGATCCTTCTGTGCCATACACACAGGCTTAGAGCTTGATTGAAGATGTTGCTTCTTTCAGTCTGCTTCCTGTCCGCGCTAACACCTCATGGACTTTTTTACTCGGGAACAAAGACAGGGGGGCTTAACCTTTCTTCGGCGTGAATATTGGAAGCTGTATCACAGATTACACGCTGTAATAGACACCTGGCTAAATCCCTACAGAGGATTATAGCTTGCATTTTCAAACTGGTGAAGGCTGCTGAGGTCAAGCAGGCCAAGATTTTAAGAAGGAGCAAAACGAATTTTCAAGAAGCAAGTCACAGCAACTGATTTTTATATTGCTGCCTCAAGGTAGTTAGCTCAGACGCGCTAGATAAGAAATAAATACAGTCTGAATCAAACTTGGAGTGTTTGATCACTGCATTCAAATCACACTTCTGGAAATAATAGTTTTTTTCTTTTTCAAAGGAGTACTACAAGTATTCCACTCAGTACCTTGTGGTATGTTGCACATGACTAATTAGACAGTAATAACTGACAGTGAACATTGCTCTAATACTCACATTTTCCATGTGATTTCTAAATGGGAGTTAGGTGTTTACTGTGACACAGCCATATTATTAAACCATTAATAGGGAGATACTACTCATTAGGAATTTTCCCTTTCAGGGCAGTACAGTGGATTGGCAAGGCACAGAATCTGCCACATAATAGTTTATGTTGTCAAACTCACTACATCCATTAACTGGTTTGAGAGTTTCTTTGTCAATGTTTGTAGAATTATTGTTGTAAGGAAGACAGGGTTGGCTATAGACAAGAACATTTTACCATCAATAACCCTTCATCACTACAGTGACAGCATTTTAACTTAAAGTGATTTAAGCCTAAAAAGGAAAAACGCTAAAATCTCAGTGGAAGATTTGATGTGCTCACAGAGCTCCCAGGTGAGAGGCATTTGGGTGGTCAGAGAAGCA